AATGCATATCATGTATATCAAAATTAATATGAAAAAAGAACACATGCTCACCCACCTACCAAAGTAAAACATGTAACGCGAGCTCAAACGGACAGTGGTAGACGACTCGCCGCGTAATACGAATGAAAAAGTGCAAAATTTGCCGCGACTAAGTGCAAACTCTTCTATCGCGTGCAAGTGACATCAATTCAAAAACGCCGTACTTGTACACGTAATATGTGGGTTGTCGCGCGTTAGAGTTGTTTACGCCAACAATTTTACGGCGTGTAACGGTGATTGTGTGTGTCTACATAATTCGGTCTAAAAAGCTCAAGTAGTATAATCGTCGTATGAATCTGAAGCGCGTTCTGTTTTTTCTTTACATTAATTGTATAGCACGCCGTTTTTTGATTAGTAAGTAAATCGCTGATTTTCTTGACTTGGAATGATTTTTTCCTTACTTTTCTATATTATCAAACTTACTTCGAGTGAGTCGTTAAACAATTAAACTTGCTAAATAAAGGGACTCAAAATTTTATCAGCTTACAATTAATAATATTACAGTGTTTTAAAATAAATGTCAAATACTCCTAAAAACCAATCTTAAAGCTTTTAATGCAATTGAAAATAAAACGATGAAAGATTTCTTTAATTTGTCACATATTAAGAGGTATGACTTAATGTTGATAGATTGAAATAGATATAGATGACAAAGACAATTAAATAATCTAAAATAAAAAATAATTTTTTATGAGAGAATCACATGGATTATTCAAAAAACTCATTCAGTATTGTTCATAACTACCACCCGACTGAACTGAAAAATTTGCTTACTCCATATGTTTGATTACAACAATTATGATGTACTGACTGGAAAACATTACGTGATTTTCATACTTGTAATAAAATTAAAAAAATTAAACACGAGTGAGTAAAAGTGATGTGATTGTATTTGTAGAATTTTTTCTCGATTACACGAGCTAATCTCTGCATTTCTCTCATTAAGACAAGCAACTAATACTTATTTCTACGTTGCCAGACGCAGAATTATTTACTGATGCGTCAAATTTTTTTGCCGCTACGTCAATTTTTCTTTTTTTTCTCAGCCTGCTGACCATCATCGTCAGCGATAGCTTTCTATTCATTTTATTTTCTATACAGGTGCGCGCGCGTGTGTGCGCTTATTTCTCCGCGTTGAAATTCCCATAATACAAAGAATTAATTTTGCTAAATTGATTACGATTTCTGTATATGTGCGCAAGATATATATAAGGCCAGCAAAAAACTTGTAGCAATTTCACGCTGGCGTGCATCGCAGCTTGGCTCGTGTCGATCGTGTGCCAAGAATCTGCTGCTCTTCGTGTGGTATATGTAACAATGCAGCAGCATTTTTTGAACGATTTATCATAAGATAACTGCTAGAATCTAGAATTTCTGCTAGAATTTCTCTCTCTTGCCGTTTTTTTTTTGAACGTCTGTAAAAGATGAAGCTCTCGAGCTTCCGCTCGGGTTGAATGCTCGCAGCTCTATGAGACAAACAAGTCCATCGACTATGTAAATACGTGAACATACGAGTACATGCCGAAAATTCTCATTCATTTAATTTCTTGAAAAATGTACGATGACGCAGTGTCAAAAGCTTAGATCTGCGTGTCTGTATTAATGTAACGAAGTGCATCGCGACAGCAGAAGAGTAAGTGCGCATATACTACATCACATCGCGACGTTGCGCACCAAGAGTGTAAAATAACGGAGAGTACGTACGACGACGACGCGTACAAACACAGCACCACGACAGCTGCTAGACGCATCGCCCAGGATGATGGCGAAGAGAGAAAAAAAAATTTTTTTTCTTCCTCTTTCTTTCTCTCTCTCTTTCTATATACTACATTGTTATTTATATTCGCCCGAGAGAGGAGTAGACTCGCTGCTCTTAACGCATCGCAGTACGCGTATGTTCCTGTCTCTATATACGCAGCCGAGAGAGGCTCGGCCGGCTCTATTCTCTCGGCTCTCTTCGGTCGTAGAATTTCTGTAGAATTATTTTTTTTTTTTCATTTCATTGGAATGCGACGAGTCGCATAATTGTTGGTACTTTATGGTAATGCTTATGTTTTAGCAGTTTCCACGTGAGAGAATGAATGAAGTTCTCATTGTTTTGAAAATATATTACTCTTCTTATTTTATTATATTTTTTCATTTTACAACTTATTCGAGACATTTTACATTGAATGAATTCATTCGTAATCATAAACGAAACAAATTTATAATTTCGAATATCGTAATGATTTGTATACGAACGAGTATTGTAAGGCTGTCAAGGTTCTCTCGATAAGAGAGTCTCTAAAGTGAGTAATCGACGCATTATAATGTCGATTCAAAATCCTTATTAAGCCTTTTACGTGAGCTAAATTTAGATTCTTCTCTAGCAATTCAATTTGTCACGTTGCAACGAGGTAAAATCCAGGGTATCGAGCCTACTTATTGCACACCGCAATGACGTCAAAAATTAGGTAGGTTAAAATATGCCAAACTTTGTAGGAATCGCATTTTCGATGAGCCATTCGAGACTCGCAGAATTAGGCCCCCGTGCACAAAACTCGCACAAAAGTGAAATAAATCCTCAACTTCTCGGCCGTTTTGAACCAGCTGCTATATACCCGCGATAAATACCTTTACGATTACGATGCACGAGCTCGCGCTCGCCCTCGAAAAATTTGGCTCGTCCCCGCTCAACTTTTTATCTGTATCGCTGTTAATTCTCATTGTGCATTTCTATAAATACCACGCAAAAACACATAATTATCGATCAAATATTTCGAACTTTGTAAACGACCGGAAGCTCGGCGGTGTATATAGGCGCGCATCTCTCTTTCTCTACACGACGTGCAGCAGCTACAACGCAACATCCCTCACGCGCGCGCGCGCACTTGTGCACCACTCGATTTTATTAATAACGTCGCCGAGGAGAGTACAGTATGGAACGCTTTGCACCGCACATTATGTCCGTGTGGTACACACAACGAGAGAGAGAGAGAGAGAGAGAGTAAGTGAGCAGCAGCAGCGGGAGAAATAACGTATTATATACGTGCGGAGAGACGCGAAGCTATATCGTACATACGTTCGGTGCACTTGCAGTTGCAGTGTACGTACCGATGCATGCAAGCTGCTGCTGCCGCCGCTGGTATAATCACTATATAGCGCTGCCTATATACGTTGAGGCCGGAGCACGCGCCCGCTTCAAATACTCGGCGGCCGTCTTCGCGAGTGGTTATATATCTCGCGTGCTGTATAACACACGCCACTGCACTTTGGCTCGCGATATCGAAATTTCACACGCCCGTTACAACAGCGGCGGTCTCTTTCCGCTAATCGTTCTCGATGAATTGAAAAAAAGCCAAAAAAAAAAAAAAAAGTTTGACTCGGCTCGCTCGCGCGTGTGTAAGCTCGGCTTCATTTTACGCGGGTAATAAGTGAACTTGACTTTTTCAATCGAGTGCTTCCAGTGAGTGAACGAGTGCGCGAGCTTTCGAGGTGTGAAAAGTTTATACTTCACGAAGCTGCTGTCTTCGATGTGAATCTTTGATCGATTCTTTTCTTTTTTTTTTTTTTTTTTTTTTTTTTTTTTGCGAACGAACGAGCTAGAGTGATAACAGTGCCGTATCGACGAGCTCGCGAGTGACGCGCTTTTGTGTTACACCGTGACAACACGCGCGTGTTGACATTACTCGCGCGCCGTTAAACTCCTCGGTGCGTGCAAATGAACATTATATATTTCTCCCAATGATTCATGCCACCGCGACTCGCGAGGAGTTTGCAAAATTTATGGGCTTCGAGACCTTTCGGGCGTAACCTACATTTCGATCTCTCCGATATTCAGTTCGTCGAGGCTATAAAATATATATTACAAGCCAAGTTTCATTGAGCCCGATAAAGGGACGCGGCAGCAGCAGCAGCAGCAGTTGTAACAGACAACAAAAAACAATCGAATTCACACTCGGTCGCCGAAAAAATCCTCAGTGTGTCGAGGACGATATATCCTATACATACATCGTTCGTTTTTCCATACACGGCTCGCGGTCGCCAAGGACTCGACTCGGCTTCGCGAGACACAGTCGTCCCGGCGTATCGTGTGTATAAAGTATAAGCGTGCCGAACGGTTAAGGCTGGGTAAATATCCTCTTCGGTACGCGGGCGCCGCCGCCGTCGTTGCTGCTGCTGCGCTGCCGCAGTGCAACCCAGTGGAAAATGATGTACCACAAGCCAACGGTGCCTCGCTTTCGCATAGCCGAGCGCGTGAGCGTGTCCGTGAATAATCGTCAACAGCAGCAGCAACAACAGCTTTATCATCAACAGCAGCAGCAGCAGCAGTTGATGATGGCGACGATCGCCAATGGACACAACAACAACAACAATAACAAGAGAGGAAACACGCCGCCCAATCGGTAAATAATGCCATGTCAATTGCGGCACAAGATCGTTTCCTCTTTTATATTTGATTGCCGCCGCTTGTATTGCCCTTGGAAGTATGTAGGAGCGCTGCCTGCAATTGGAATTTCTATGTGTTTCTCTCGTAAGAGACAATAATGAACATTTTTTTGTTGGTATCGATGCGATGATGATTCACGATTATCGTTCGGATCTCGATTGAGGAATTTCGAGGCAGCTTAATTGAAAATTTCATTGTATCGAGAGCATTTGTTTTTATTACTGAAAACCGTTACCTTGTTTATTGATGAAGGCCAAAAGATAGGATTATTTTTCAATCGATTGTCGATTTGATAAAAATTTTATTGCATTTTTTTAAATATTATCCCTATTAATTAAATACACGCAAGTGGATAATGGAAAAGTTTAAGTTAATTATATAGAAGCTATTAGTTATAATAGGCTCTCCGCTATTGAAAATAAATTAAATCAACTTTGGTACCGTTAAGTCTTTCAATTCATCACAATTGATATACAAGATAAAAAAATGATTGATTGCAGTTTAGTAATTGAAAGCATTACATTGGTTTCAGCATGAAAATGCCTCTCAACAAAGTGCAATCGCCGGCGCCCTTAACGCCTGCCAAGACCGGGGGAGTGCTCTCGCCGAAACCAACGTCGAATGGCTCGGATCAACTAACGTAAGTGTTTACTCTTCTTCGTGAATTATGTACGAAATTTTATTAAGTAATAAATTTTGTTTATTACCTTCGATCGCAGAAGACAAAATTCATCCTCGTCGAACTTCGAGTCCCGGATACACGAGGGAAATTACGAAATCGTCAAACCCATGAAGGTAAGCTTTCTCACGCCTTTAGTTACAACACTTTGTGAACATTTTTTGTCTATTGTATATCCTTGTACATAACAAGAGTTCAATATCAAGAGCGAGCCGCAAAACAACGACTCGCGCGAATTTAGCGGTATAAATATATCACAGCCATAAAGATGCACACGTATATAGTGTAGGTACGTGCGCTACGAGCTGCTCGCGTGCAGCGGCAAGCCTGAAAGTCGGTGGAAAGCGTAACGCTCAATTTTCTGGCCTTTCGATCAAATAATAATATCAAGGCGCGCGCGCGCGAGTAAGCGTTTATGGGCGGCGTGCAAATCGTTGCAATTGTACAAGTTCGCTTTCATGCAGCTTCGTGTGTAGATAGATGTGTGCCGCCGGGTGCTAATTCCGAAAAGTCCGATCATCGACTAGAACGAGAGAAAAAAAAAATCAAATCGTTGGATTATCTTTGATCGGATGATGGTTATTAGGTTCGAAAAAAGGTATTTTCCCGTCGACGCTGTGGTTTTATAAATAAAATCGAGCCACAGAAGCACGATAAGAGAAGAGAGTCAATTACAAGACGCGAATAAATATGCATGCAGGTGCTGCACACATGCTAACGAATCGTGTTATTACTATACGAGCGATGAGAAATCAAGGTCACTAAAATATTTTACTACCTGAAATGTCGATCGTATTACGTAGACTCACGATCGCTGTAATTCGGCTGCTATTTACATTATGTACGTTAATTTTCTAATTTGATCATCCTCTTAAAACTACAATCCAATTAGGCGTTTCCAAATCCCCAGCCCAAAATTTAATCGATATAGTATTTTATCGCGTCAATTTTTTGCTTCCTTTTTTAATTCGATCGTCATGTTTCGCACGCGTGTCCATTGCGTAATCCGATGGAGCCTCGATATCATCATCGCCGCACTGACGTAATTGAAATCGTCGCGTATAATAAACCTGCGCCCATATGATATCTAAAAAGCTGCTGGGATATCGATAGCTTTATTATTTCGATTAATTCAAATCAATTAGCCGCGACTTTGAACTCGAGCTTTCATATAGACATTCATCATCCGATAATCTAGCGCGCGGCAAACCCATCCGGAAAAATGTATAATTTGGCGAAAAAAAGAGAACCTTTTTTTTCACGAGGCCATTATTATTATTAAACGAGCGTGAGTACGCCCTCGCCTCGCCTCTATCCGGAAAGTTTCTTCGCGCGTTTTGTATATTACCGGCCGGCGAGCGACGTCTCTCTCTCTCTGCGCCGATCGCCTGCCACGCGATGACGCCGTTTATCAAGGTGAGCAGCGCACAACAGAGCTCGCGCATTGTAGGTGTTTTCGTAAAAATGTATATAAATATCAGCCGCGATCGCGTACAAATACGAGAAGATATTTTTTGTTTTTTACTTAGTGAATGGAGCCTTAATTGACGGAAAACATCGATTCGCGGTCGAAGTGCGACGCGATCGAGTGTCGATATTGGCAGCTATTATTATGTAGGTTAAAGCACGGGTGGCACAATGCGTCGCGTTCATCCTCGCACACATTGTGCGTGTATTTTTTCTCGTGTATCCAACGACAATTTGCACTATTTGTGTGTACTCAGTAATGACGAGCTATTAGTGCATCTTGACAGTGCCTGCTACTATTTTTCTTGCACGAATGTCGTGTATGCGATCGCGCAAAGATCTTGAGTGGCCAAATGAAGTGTATAATTAATTTTTGGATCTTTCTGCTACGGCTATAAATCTTGACTAACTTAAAAAGTGATTTAATTTCACGTTTGATTAATCAACGCGTTTCAAGAGCTTATTTACTATTTTCATTCATTAGGCTTTAATCGGTCACAAGCTCCGTAAATTATAATACGCTTGAAACGTTCAAGATCAGTGAAGTTTATGCGATTCGAAAGCTCGAACTTATCACGAACTTTTCGTCATCGTCCACTTTAGACATTCCAACAGTATATCAGAAGCGACAACAAAGTCATCTCTCAAACCTATACTCTCATTAGCATCTATTGTTAAAAAAGTCGAAGCATCAAGGCCACTTCCTCCTGAAAGAAATAGCTGCGTATGCGAAACGCGGTCAAGAACGCCGATGTATCCGTTGCTCACAATAAAATGCGTGTCTCATTGAATTAATTCTTTTTTTCCTCCTCGGTCCTCTCTCTCTCATACTTAGAAACCGCAGATCACCTCTGTCTACTAAAGTGCACTCCAAGTGCACCGTCGAGATATACACTTGAACCGCGCGTGCGATTCTCGTCGCTCATTTATATAAATACATGATTTTGATGCGTGAAAAATAAAAAAAAAGGCGACAGTCACTGCGCATCCGCTAGATCTAAGAACGTTCCGTTACAACGATTATAACACGAGCGCGACACGCTCCGAGCAAATATTTAACGCGTCGGATTTGATAGTACGAACTCTTGTATGTCTCTCGTTGCTTTTTTTTCGTCTATACACTTTCGTGTTTACACGAGGTATTAAATAATGTTCAAAGCATCCGGCGTCGCGGGGCTCTTACAACGTACATATATACATTTATTAGCATTGGCGTATAGGAATATGTGTATTCAAGACGCCAAGAGACGATTTTAGTGTTTGCTTTGAAAGGAGGAGCGTAAAGATACACGTTACACACAGTGTTCTCTCGGCTATCGGGCCAATCTGTAATTATGATGGATGAAAGATTTTACAATTTAACTTTGCGGCACTTCGTTACTGAGGCGAGGCGATCAAAGGCTCTAAATCCCATTGACTTTATCGATCCTCGAGATATTATTGAAATAATGAACTACCCGATGAGTAGTGAATTTATGTCCGCGTAATAAAGTATAGATGCTAGACGATTTGTAGCTCGTGGTTTATGCATTACTCCGATGAAAAAAAAAGCTTTATACAATCGGGGCTCACGCGCGCGTTCTGCTACAACATTTGCGTCACACAAAGTTTTTGCACTACACGCCTCTAGATCGAATTCGTTCTTTTCTCGTGCACGCGACTGATCGCTGCATTTGGTCGTGTCGGAGACAAGCCAAAATCGGCAGTAAGAATATAACGCTCGAACGACTCTCGACGCATATTGCACACACCAATGACATGATATATATATTTGAGGATGCGCGATCTCCGCGCGAAAGAAGCCGCCAGATCGATCGATCGATACGATCCGATTTTTCGAGTCGGCCGAACACGATCAGGGCCAACGCTTACCGCCAATAAATGTGCAATTCGAACGCATGTGTGTATAGGATAATTTCCAGCTCCGCGGCCGATCGCGACCGTGACAGCAGCTGCTGCAGTCTGCTACATCCTATAGGTATAAGAGAGTTTTACCTAATATGGCGGGGGCCCCGTGGCTGGCGCGTTGGCCGTATGCTTTATAACAACAACACACACATATATAATACACATACATAATACACATACATAATATATTGCAAGTGGGGACGTATGATACAACATACACACATACAGATATTCGCGCAGTTCTCTTTCTCTCGCATCGGTATTGCACACTACATACGCGAACTCGCGGCGCCGCTCGTATATACACACAGTTCACGAGCAGCGGGTGGCTACACGTGTGTGAGTGCGCGCGAATATAGGATGTGTTGTGTATTATATAGTGGCAAAGTCGTGGGACCGATTGTGTGTGTGTGTGTTATGTGTGTTATAGAACCTCGACACTATAGCGTACGCGACTCGGCTTAGTCGTTCGTGAGAGGCGCGCACCGACGTTCTCTTCTCGCTCTTGTCTCAAAGGATCGCGGCGCAGAGAGAGAGGCTCCGAAACACACGACGCACGCGATCGAGCGCGTCAACCGGTGATTTTTGTTTTGTGCCGATGCATCCGTGTATACGCGTACGCCACGATAGCGCTGATATAGAGGCTGCCGAAAAGCAGTTTTCGAAGCGATAGTGTCTGTGTGTGCGTGGGTGGGTGTTGTTATTCGGTGCGATACTCGGAGCTCGATTGCACGAGTAGTGAAATTTAGTGGAGCATCGATTGTTGTAGTGTATGTGCGTGGTAAATGCCAAGGATCGTGTGCGGTTTTTTTGTCGAAAGCAGCGAGTTTTATTACAAGTTCGCGCACTTGGCTCATTTTTGGCAATTCGTTTTAGTTTCTTCCTTTTTTTTTTTGCGTGACGATGCAGCCTTGATCTGGAAAAACAATTTGACCGATTACAGACTTAAAAGTTGGAGCCCATATAAAACACGAAACTCTCGTTTTCTCGAATAGCTATATAATACGGCGGCCGTATCTCCGTTAATCTCCATAAATGATTCACGGCGTGCTCGCCAGAAATAAACTCTCGGCGTCCTAGTTAGATATGTTATGTATCGTTTTTTCTACTCTTCAACCGAGCTCTGCTGTGTTGTACCACGCAAGTCCATGTAAACTCGATTTGAAAAACAGAGGCACTGCTACATCGAAGTCTTTGCGAAATAAAAAACAGAGTGGATTCGTCGATTAGACGCGCCGCGCGAGGTCTGTTTTGTCTTATCCAAGATTCTAATATAAAAAACGAGTAAAAAAGATGCCGACCAGTCATCAAGAAGCCGCCATAAAGAGGCTGGAGGAGATGTTCAAGAACGTCAACGTGGGCCAGTCGACGCAAAAGCCAACCAAGACGAGCCGCAGCATCGTCAGGGTCGAGACGCAGATCGACAAGTGCTGCGAGATTCACGGAAAAAATCACAAGGCCAACTGTAAGAATGGAAAAGCTCAGAGCGCAAAAACGACGATGACCACTACGGTGACCACGGCCGTGGTGGCGCCGAACAATAGACGAGGATCGTTGAATATTCCCGCGTCGCCGAGGCCGAAAGACTCTCATCCGTCGAATTTTGCGAGCACCCTCCGCAAAGACTCCGCCATGAACAATAACAACAACAACAACAGCTCGTCGGCGATCGGTAAGAAGGATCATTCTCATCCTCCCACGAGCGGTCTGCGTCGAGGAAGTTTGAACCAGTCGACGAGCT